GTTAATAAAGAACATCAATGATTATGTCAAAATTGATAGTATGAATCATTAATATAACATACCTTCAATGACAAATACTATATAATATTTTATAATTTTTTTCATGATGTTATGAAAACTGGAAATCATATTTCTAAATTGTTTTGTTTAAAGTTCTTACAGAATCTCTAGTACTAAACTTTCGACAATATGATGATAAATAAAGTTCGAAGTTTTTTTTTGTATAATTTAAAATCCTATCAACCGTACATTAAAACTTTTTCATAAGTATGCAATAAGATATACCTTTTCTTTGCTTTGTTAATTGAATAATTAGTAAATTATATTTCATTCTACTTTATTAATTCTGAATTATAATCATATAAGAATTAGACTATGTGTAATGTGTGTGTATTTAATATATCCACACATTCAATTATATAGATGTATATGACAATATACTTACAATTTCAAATTTTTGTTTCTGCATTGTGTAGAAGCAACGATTTTTTTTAGATAATCTTCTGTAGTATATTTAAATTTTCTTCCGAACAAAAAAAAAAAAAAAAAATATTTGTGTGATAATGTGACACACGGTTAAGAAATATGTAAGACATACATTTTATAAAATAAATTAACATATCTTGAAAGTAAGATTTCATAAATAAAATGGATGATTAATCTAAAAATTGAGATTATTGTGACAAATATATATACTATATAATTTTTTATTATTTTTCTCGTGCTTATTATTATAATTTCAATATTTAGAAAGTAATTTTTATTTTTATCGAAATTATATATTTGTCCTTTTTTATAGTATAAGAAGCATTGCACATAATCGAATATAGAAGAACATAATTAGTAATCACATCTCATTCATTCTACGAGTTTATCTACTCATGACACGCGATATTCTCTTTCCACAACTAGTAGTATAAATTCGCGACAAACAATTATTGATCCTGTGACCCTTTGAAAACAGTAATATCAGGTTGTTCAAACTTTTTCGAAGGTTTGCTCACGCTCTACATCACATTCAACTCTGCACAATGCAACATTCGCGCATTGCGTGCTTTTATAAAGTGATTATACTGAACATAGATTGTGGTAGGAAACGTTGAAGTGAATAAGCATTACACAATCTGATGTATTAAAATAATTTTCTCCTAAATTATGAAAACTGTGTAATAATATTTACTAATTTATTTTATAACAAAAGAACATTTCGTTATATAGCTATGTTTCAGTATTACGTATAACATACACATGAAAAGCAATACGTATAAAGTTTGTTTAAATAAATATTGCAGCATTTTTATAATATACTAACATTATATAAATTTTACACATATATATATATTATACATATGTATATCATTAGCAGTACATCATAACTTTTTCATAATTATAATATGTTCAAATTATTTTAAAAAAAGTTTTTAAAATTACAAAATTAAAATTTAAAAAATTAATTTATTTCTTTCGCAAGAAAGCTAGTAATGAATTTGTATTTTCTATAATTAGAACAATTATAAATTGTAATTTATAATAAGTAATATTAATAATTTTATGATTATATTTTATACTGTACATACCTATAACTTAATTTGATTCCCATTGTTAAATGCACATTGAATCATTTCACAAGCATATTGTATTGTACTGTAACACAATTGATCATTTAATTTAGGAACAAGTTTCATTCGTGTATCGATTAGAGAAAAGTTTTACCCTTTTCCTTTACAACAAATCAATATAAGCGCAGATATCATGTTCAACTCTCTTTATTCTGAACAGATAAGCTAGACAAACAGAATAGATGGAGAACAAAGATAAAATTATCACAAACAGATAAGTTCTTACGTCCGCTTTTAAATAAAAATACACATAATTTGCAACAAAGTTACAATATTTCAATACAGTGATAAAAAAGACGAACAAATTGCGTGACGATGTGACCCAGCAATCTATTACTCTCGCCGTCTATCTCGCGATGAATTCACTACCACTTCAATTTGCTTTTACTATCACTGTAAATATCGATTACTTAAGAGACGTATGTATTAAACGAAAGTATAGTTAGTACATCGCGCACGCGTTACTTTCTGACTATTACCCCGCGTGCGTTTTGAGTATCATCCGCGCGATGATAAATATTATTCAATCGTGTCTGTACGCTCGAGAAGCGAACATGAAGAAACTTCCACAGAACTCGCCAATCATATTTAATTACATAGAGAATATGGAATACAGCATACAGCCAATTCGTTGGCTACTAAAGCCGATAAGTGTTTGGCCAGTGATGGACTCATCGATCACGAAGAAGATCTCATCAGTGGTATTATTGATAGCATGCATTTTTTTAATCGTCAGCATATTAGTGCCTTGTGCATTGGCTATATTTCTGGACGAGACTAAGGATGTGAATATGAAGATACGTGATTTTGGACCGCTCAGCAACTGGGTGCTAGCGAGTCTCAAATATACCTCGTTGCTGGTACACGTCGGCGACATACGTCAATGTATCAAACATATTGAAACGGATTGGCGGGCCATAACAAAGTTCGAAGAACAGGAAGTGATGCTGAGGAATGCCAGGATCGGTCGTTTCATCGCGATATTCTCCGCAGTATTTATACACAGCGGCGTATTCTCGTACAGTATTTTCCGAGGAATGACGTTGAGCGAGTCCGTTGTCGAAGGCGATAACGCATCGGAACGTTCACTGCCTTTTCCTTTCTATAATAAGATTCTGGACACCACGACGAGTCCAATGTACGAAATAGTGTTTACAATACAGTGTCTATCCACGTTCGTTGTGAATTCTGTAACAGTAAGCGCTTGTTGTCTCACCTCCGTCTTCGTGCTGCATGCCTGCGGTCAGTTAAAAATTCTGATGTCTTTGCTGGATAGTCTGATCAACGAAAGAAACGAAAAGACAGACTCTTCGCAACCAAAGTTCGCCATCATCGTTGAGCATCATTTAAGAGTACTCAGGTAAAAATGGTAAATTTTTTGTACAATATATAATAGATGTCAAATATTTTTTTCTCGTCTTCATTTTAATTCTGTGTTAAATGTTGTGTTAATAAAACATTGATCTATCACTGAATAAATATACGCTGAGATCTCTAAGATAACATTAATTTATGTACCTAAGAAATGGACATTATTTTTGGTATATTATAAATACATATATTATTCCTAAATATATATTTCTAGCTTCGTATCTCATATAGAGAAAATTACGAATGTAGTTTGTCTTGTGGAAGTAGGAGGGTGCACGCTGCACATGTGTCTGTTGGGTTATTATTGTATACTGGTACGCGTATTGTGAAATTTGTTTGCTGATCATTGCCTATTACTCGAACGAATTAGAGAATCTTTTTCAGGATTGGAACCAAGACGAAAAAGAAGGTATAGTGGCATATGGTATAATATTGATCTCGGTTACTTTCAACATCTTTATATTTTGTTACATCGGAGAGATTCTTTCAGAACAGGTAACGACAATGCCTGTTGAAAATATCAGTGATTTTATGCATAATTTGCGACCAATAAGAAATTAAATTATATATTAATAGTTAATTTCCTGTGTGAGTTTTATCAAAACGCGATATTGCCACGAACGTACCATATTGTCCGATTTAATCGTAATATAACAGTGTGGTCAAGTTGGTGAAATTGCTTACATGACAAATTGGTATTTGTTACCCGGAAATACAGCCCTCGATCTAGTTTTGATCATTTTAAGATCCAGCATTGTAGTCAAAATCACTGCTGGAAAGATGACTGAGCTTTCTCTTTCAACATTCGGTAATGTAAGTATATACAAAATGTATTTTTCAAATTATAGACGTATAGCTTACAGAAATAGTATTTTAGATGCGCGAATTTTATATATTGTAGGGTGTCTGATAATTACTGAAACAACATTTGGGTAGGTAGAACGGATTAAACTAAATCGTCCGATAGTAAGTTTGATTCAGTTCAATCTACATATCTACCCATCAACATATCTACCCATAAGCGTTGTATCAATAATTATCAGATATTCTATATATATATATATGTGTGTGTGTGTGTGTGTGTGTGTGTGTGTGTGTGTGTGTGTGTATGATTAATTAATAATATATATATGTAGGGTTGGCCATATTCGACGGAATTGGCCATATTCGACGGAAAGATGTTTTTTTGTTAATCATGGGAAAAAAAACACATTTTTTGCTTTTTATTGTAAAAGCCATTTAATATGGTTCAAGGAGATTTGTGTACATTATTTGTTGAATATGATATCTCTTAAATGATCGCCTTGAGCCTGCAATGGCGAGTTACAGTGTTGCCACATCTTTCCGTCGAATATGGCCAACCTTGTATATAAAATTATATAGCTTGTAAAAATAATTAGAAAATTGTTTAGCTACAGTCATTAAAAATTAACTTTTTAAAAGTCACAGTGACAGAATGATTAATGACTATTTCAGATAATTAAATCCGCGTTAGCGTATTTAAATATACTTCGTACCCTCATTACGTAAATGTCATTACATAAATAACTTTTTATACATACAATAGATTGTAAAGAATAAATATAGTGTGTAATTGAATAAATAAATAACAATATTGTCATAACAATATTTTGCATGTCATATTTTTTAAGTAAAATTTAGTTTTATTTTATCTGTATCTTCAAATTTGCTATATGTATTCCAATATACACATTATGATTAATTTCCTTAATAAAGTTATTGATCTTACTCACAGACGTGATTTTCAATGTAAATGCGTGCTTAAAACTGTCCAGTATACGTAAAACTTCAGACTTAAATATCGATTATGCGCTGTTTCTACCTGTTGCCGCGGCGGCTGCACATTATCACAATAATACACGACAATACATTGTAAGGATCACTTGTATCATGTACTGTTCAATGTCTGCGCACGCGCTGATTATTACTACTGCGTGTGCGACAGCGAAGGGATAGCTTCAGTAAGTTGGCTACCTTCGTCAGAAAATCATGGGGGATGATCTCGCAGATAATTCTAGCATCTCTCCATACTTAGTCGATAAATACAATGAGTATAGTATCCAGATAATACGTTGGATTCTCAAGGCAATTAATGTATGGCCGCATTCCGCCAACGCCTCACTTATCGAAAAGATCCGTTCCGATTTCGCGATATTTATATGTTATTTCCTGATAATTACCACCATGGTACCTAATGGTTTGAGTATGTTCATCGATTCACAGATGTCCTACGAGACCAGACTACAAAATTTCGGTCCGCTCACCTTTTGGTTCATAGCGATGGTGAATTATTCCTGCCTCCTGATGCACGTTGACGATATACACAATTGTGTGGAACACGTGAAAATGGACTGGCTGATCATCAGGAGATTCGAGGATCAAAAAGTGATGCTAAAAAGCGCCAAGTTAGGTCGATTCATCGCCGGTTTCTGCGCCGTGTTCATGCACTGCGGTGTGTTCTCGTATAATGTCGTCCAAGGTCTCTCCAAGAGTATCCTGTACATGGAAAATACCAGCATAATAGTTCGCGGATTACCTTATCCCTTCTACAACAAGATTCTAAACGTGCACTTCAGTCCGGCATACGAGTTCGTGTTTTTTCTACAGTGTCTTTCATCCTTCGTCGTCAACTGCGTTACGGTCGCAACATGCGGCTTGACAGCAGTTTTCGTGATGCATGCGTGCGGCCAAATGAAAATTATGATATCCTGGCTTGAAAATTTTATTGACGATAAAAAAGAGGAAAGGATTTCTCTAAGGCAAAGATTTGCAATCATCGTAAATCATCATTTAAGAATCTTGAGGTAAGCTATCTTCTGTGAGTATGGTTCTTTCAATATTTTTTAATTTGCGCCATCATCAAATCTAATCCAAACTTAATTAAATAATAGTGTAATAAATATAGTTAATGTCAGCAAAATTTTTTAAATGCAAATGTTACATGCTTAATTTATAATATTTACATATTTTTAATTTATGATATTTTATTTTTTAATGCAAAAGTTATATAATAAATATTGTATACTTAATAAAATTAAAATTGCTAAAAAATAATTATGATCGATCGTGATCTCTATTTGCAGTTTTGTATCTCGTACAGAAAAAATTATGAATGTAATATGCCTTGTGGAATTAATTGGATGTACTATGCATATATGTCTCTTAGGGTATTATTGCATTATGGTATGGAAATTATTTCGGAATGTATATACTTTATATTATTTCGTTCAATTCTTCGCATTTCTATCGTTTGACTATACGTCAGACTTAATGTCTCTTTTAGGATTTTATTGATGGCAACCATCAAAGTATTTTATCACATTCGATGGTATTATCTTCGATTACTTTTAATATTTTTATATTTTGTTACATCGGGGAGATACTTTCAGAACAGGTAATATTTAATAAACTTAAAAATTTAACAGTAAGAAACTGTACACTTTAATTTAAAAAATTATGACTTTACTTTCTAAATTCTATAAAGTGGAATCTCATTTTAAAGAATGAAAATGGAGCCAGTCTTGAATTTTTAAAAGATATCTTTTTTCATTTTTTAAAGTGAGATTCAATCTAAAAGTTTTAAAAAGTGTAACATATATTCGCGAGATTCAGATTTATTTATGTATTGGGGAATTTATTAAGATGCAATATCGCTAGTTTCTTTAATCGAATTATAACAGGTATACAAAACGGCCTTTAGGGCGAACAGATCGGTAAATCTGCTTATATGACAAACTGGTACCTCTTACCTGGAAAAAGTGCCCAGGGGCTCATTCTGATAATTTTAAGATCCAACGCTGTCCTCAAGATAACTGCCGGAAAAATTGTTCAGCTCTCATTTTCCACTTTCGGTGATGTGAGTATGCAAAAATACATTATTGTTACAATTTATGTATATATATAAAATATATGTAACTTATATATTCATACTAAAGAATGGTATGGTTTATTGTATTATTGAAATTTTATCTGTATAACATTCGTGTAATATAATTGTATAAATGTTTTAAGATACAAATATTTCTACAAAAAATAATCAATTTTTAAACGAAGATGAGTAATTTCTAATTGCTTTAGGTAATTAAATCTGCATTAGCATATTTAAATATACTTCGGACTGTACTGCTTACGTAAATAATTATTACAACTTTGACACAAAAAAAAAACAATACGCAAAATAGGCAGTCATTATAAAATAAATATAGATATTTAATAAAAACTTTATATAATATTTGTTTATGTTGAATAAGTATCTTATTGTCCAGGTCACAAACTATAAATTAATAAAATAATATTCTTGTTTATTAAAAATTTACTTAAAAATATACGATATGAATTTTAATTATAGTTAATTATAAAGTTTTGTGAAATTATAAATACAATGTATATATTCCCATTAAAAATAATCAGTAGAATCGACATTGATCAATGTCGATGGCACTAATTCAACGTCGATTCTACCTATCATTAGCTGGGATGTGGAGTGCATATAACATACAAATCTCACTTTACAAATTCTGAAGATATTGGCAATATGTTCCAAGTAATTATTTTACGTGTATATTTATATTCATTTTGCGTATGTAAAAGTACACTTATTGAAATAAATTTATTTAGCCAATATTATCACTGTATTTTCATACACGTTGCATTCTAATAATAGTCAATTTCAAGAAATATTTTAATCATTTTTTAAACAAAAATTTATATTTCAAATTTGCTCTTACACTACTCTTTTTAAAGATATATTCATTTCCCGTTCAAGATAACCATATGCGAACTGAAATACACGTAGGAGATCCTCCACCGACTATGTTAGAAAATACTGTGAAGTAGGAAACATTTCCCAGTATATTACGTATTCCCCTTTGATGAACAACGGTTAGAACCCTTCTTCCCTATAAAATTTATTTCCTTATTTGCATCCCCGCAAAAGGATTTGCACGAAGCACGCAATAAAATTCCAGGAACTATAATCCGTCTCACTAATAATGAAACAGCCAGCAGGTAGAAAGGGATAGGAAGGGATCAATTGCGTTCACGCACGAACGTTTATAGACAAAAGACGCACATGCGCATGTCGAATTGGCTGACGATCAGTTCACTGACGCTCAGTCAGTTACGTGCATCGTCGCGATTTAGTAGGCATTATCATGCCTGATTATTCAAAGTCAAAGTCTATCAAATCCATAAAGGATGGCTGGAACTATAGCATTCAGATGAACCGTTGGTTTATGAAGCCGATCGGCGTATGGCCGTTGACTCTCTGCGAGACCACGGTGGAAAAAATTGGTTGCATGATTCTGACAGGGATCAGTTGTTTATTGATATGTTTCCTGCTGATCCCATGCACTCTCTGCACTATCCTAGTAGACACTGATCTCGATACCAAAATCAGGATGATCGGTCCGGTCAGTTTTTTACTAATGGCCGCGGTGAAACAATACATCCTCATTATCCGCAGCGAGAACATCGACGAATGCATTCGGCACATTCGCGTGGATTGGAGCCGTGTCGCGTTGAATCATGAGAAAGATCGAGAAATAATGGTGAACAATGCTAAGTTCGGCAGGTGGCTATCCTCCGTCAGCGCGATCTTCATGTATTCCGCAGGTATATTCTTCACCACGGTGATGCCGATTTGCGCAAGGAGAACAGAGATCATTGACAACGAGACAGTGAGGTCGCTCTCCTTTCCAATTTATCGTGGTCTCTTCGATCCACGCACCACGCCATCCTTCGAAATCGCGCAATTCACGCAAGGTTTAGCTGGTTACGTCATTTATACGATCACTATTAGTGTGTGCAGTCTGACAGCAGTATTTGTCATGCATGCCTGCGGTCAATTTCGGATACTCATGCTAAAGATGGAGGATCTCGCGGACGGAAAAGAGAGAAAGAGTGCGAATAGTACGCACGAGGGAAGACTCGGTGACATCGTGGAACATCATATTAGGATACTCAGGTAACACTGCTATATGAAGACGATTGTATCCACAGAAGAAAGAAATTATTTGCAATTTTTGAAAATTTTTCTTATAGATTATAAGAAATCTAACATTAACAAATAAACAATTAATACAATATTATACGAAAAATTGTATAATTGGAGATAAACTTCGCGTTAGCAATTCTGATAATTATCTTATCAAACAAACATATATCAAAAAATTAATATATTGTTATATAAATATATTATGTAAATAGATTTTAGCTTTTTTTTTAAATTTTAATCGTGTAACTTTCAGTTTTATCACTCGTACAGAGAAACTTTTAAACGAAATTTGTCTCGTGGATGTAGTCGGATGTACGCTCAACATATGTTTTCTAGGATTCAATATGATGACGGTACGAAACATATTTGCAAACCATATTTTAAGTAAGTTCACAATATAGTACAATTACATTTCGTGCTCATAACATTTTGATGTTAGCCCTTTTAGGAATGGGAACATCGTGAACCAATAGGAACAATGACGTTCTGTTCATTGCTTATATCTTTGACGTTCAATATATTTATCCTTTGCTATATTGGTGAACTCCTTGCTGAACAGGTACTTAAATTGTAATGGCAGCCTCTACTATAATTAGAGGAAAGTTGCGAATATGTACTGGTCGCCTAAATCATACTTCATCAATATTTTGTATTATTACTTAATATAGGCAACATTTAGTAACAGTAGTATAAAATAAATAAAAAATGAGTAATATAGACAAAAATATAATAGCCTACGCCTTGTTTTAAGGGCGTTAGTAACGTTTTAAAAAATTAGGTACATCTAATATTAATTTTTAATCAATTTGTGTAGATAACAATGCAATCATCCAATTTTATTATAAATTTTTGTATTTTTGTAAAAAAAAGATTTATTGTAGAATATTTTACATTAACTGTATATACATATTTGCAACCATTATGAAGATTAAATCGAAATTTTTACAAAATCCATCAAGTTTTCTAAATCATACCATTACAGAGAAGACTGATAATTGACAATAATAAAACTAATTAATATCAATACAAATATCAAGTACAAAAATATATTTGAGCCAATTTTAATTTGACATTATTTGTCTTTTTATAATTTTTATTGAACAATTATTAAATACTTGATTTTCTTCAATAAATTATTAAATTTATAGGTATTACCTAGATAACATGCATATTGTATAAGATATCTAAAAGACGTCTTTTAAATATCTTTTAAACATAAGACATCTAAAAGACAACTTTTAGATCTTATGCAATATAAATGTTATCTGGGTAATTAATTATATTATTATACATATTAGTTAATGATTTCTTTTATTAATCTTATACTTTTAATTATTTTCGTTCATAAATTTAATACTTTCAAAGGAAATACGATTTAAAAAAGACTTACAGAAACAATTTAGGCGATCGATTGCCTAAATCATACTTTTTGCAGCATGTTACAAAAAGACTTATTAATTTGTTATTGGTGAAAAGTTAAACATGCAATAATAAAACCTTAAGCTACAATTTCTAGTGTTTATTTGCGTACAAAACAGTGTCAAATGAAAAATATAATAAAAAATAGACTAAGTAGTATGTATTCGACAATTCTCCCTACGTTGTTTATTTATATCATTTGAAATGAGACTTGAAATATTCTTAAAGAAACAGTAAGAAAAATAGAAATTTTATTTTCTCAACTTTACAGTTAATTTCCCCAAACTAAAGGATTTCAATATTTTCAATTAAAATTCATATTAAACTTAATTTTACTTTATTTAAAATCAAAATTTTTTATAAGAGCTTTATAATGTAAATGACTTAAGTTGTTAAATGCGTTATAAGAATTGTTGTCTATGTACATCATATACGACATAATTGTTGTCTACATAAAAAACATCAAAATGTTTTTAACAGTGTATGCAAATCGGCATGAAGTCTTATATGATAAATTGGTATCGTATACCGAATAAAGGAGCACTCGGTTTGACATTAATAATGGCCATGTCGAATGCCACCATCAAACTTACAGCTGGAAAATTTATGGATTTATCCTTAGCCAGTTTTTGCAGTGTGAGTAGTATTAAAATTATTTTCACTTATTCATACATGAAAATTATTTTTGATTATTTATAAGAAATGGATAGAAGAACAAAATTCCAGATTATTAAAGCGTCCGTGGCTTACCTGAATTTACTTCGTACCTTCTACGTTTAATACAGTAAAATCATCGTTATCGAGATGTACTATATAGTAACGTTAGTGCGTTAAAAAATATATTTAATAAAATGTAGATATATACGTCAGCATATTTGTTAATAAATCAAGTTACATAAATTATCGCTCACGTAAATATAAACTTAAATAGAATTAAATTTATTACGATAATGACAAAATTGAAATTACAGATTAACTAATTATAGTCCTTATAAAATACAATATAAAGCTAAGTTATATACTGTATTACACAAAGTGCAAATAACTATATCCTACGCACTTATATACTGACTGTAATATTTCCAACGTTGCGTTACGCACTAGGGAAATAGCAAGGATACGTACATTCGCGCAACTATATCAGAACTCATAAATTTCACGTTGTTACGCACTTTCATTCGTCATCGACATGACGACCCTCAGATATGCAATGACTGGGATAGAGAGCCCTATGTGCACGCGCGTCTTCCCCTTACGTTATACATAACAGGCATGGGACGCACTTACACGCGATCACGACATCATTATTTTCCCGCGCTTGCGTCGCCACGCAGACATCAGGATGGTATCGTATGCGTATTTCAGTCGGCGTTATACACTATGGACGACAGCATGCGCGATCGATCCCAACTTCCAGACAGGATACACAATATACATTACGAGCACGACATATACTACGCCATGCAGCTATGCCGATGGATCCTGAAACCGATTGGTATCTGGCACATGATTTACGGTCGCTCGTCGCAAAGCGAGAAATTTCTTTCGTTAATACTGATCTTCGTGTGTTTCTTTGGTCTGTGCTTCGTGCTTGTACCCGCCGGTCCGTACACTCTATTTCGTGAGAAGGACATTAACATTAAGGTCAAGCTTTTTGGACCGGTTGGATTCTGTCTAACTTCCGCGATCAAATATTGCTTCCTCGGAGCGCGTGCCTCGTCGATCGGAAGATGTGTCGAACACGTCGAGAGCGATTGGCGGATCGTGCGACATTATGACCATCGCAGAATGATGCTGAGGAACGTGCTGGTGGGCCGCAGACTAACAACGCTGTGCGTGATCTTTCTTTACACCGGCGGCATGTCTTATCATACGATTATGCCATTGTCTTCCAGAACGAAGACGAATGGCAGCTTCACAAGTAGACCGCTAGTTTATCCGGGATATGATCTCTATTTCGATCCTCAAGCAAGTCCTGCTTACGAGATCATCTTTGGCATGCATTGCTTGTCCGCTATGATACAATATAGCGCTACAACAGCAGCATGCAGCTTGGCTGCAAGCTTTGCGACGCACGCGTGCGGACAGGTGCAGATATTGATGACACTTTTGGATGATCTAGTTGATGGGAAGAGGACTAAAGGTACCAATGTGGAGAAACGTTTAAGGTTGATAACGAAACATCACGTGCGTGTGCTGAGGTGAGACGGGGAAAGCGCCGAGATAGTTTACATAACGTGTTTCTAAATTTATATGGGATAGATACATAGCGCGTTTCTAGATTTACGACCGACGTGGAGAAAATATTACGTGAAATATGCTTACTGGAATTGGTTGCTGCAACCTTGATTATATGTTTGCTCGAGTATTATTGTATGACGGTAAGAAAATTACGATAGCAGACACGTATAATATATCACGATAATATAATTATATCTTTTTTATGTATAACAAGTTCTGTCGTATTTTTAATACAGCTGTTGATTTAAAATTACAATAATTGAAGGGCTTACTGCAATAACGTAGCCGAATATGTGATATTGAATGAGTCATTTATTTATTACAAAGATTAAGTTAATTAATATTATATTTGATACGTTTATGTAGTGATTCGTATTTTTTACCTCTGCAATGTAATTATCAAATATAGAAAATTTTACTCATCTTATAATATTTCTTGTATACACAATCTGCATTCCGTAATAAACTTTCTCGACATGTATCAAAACATGAAAGAATTATTGTAGCATGTACAAATGTATTTTCTCATCATTTAAACTTTAGAGTTTACTTTCTCCGTTTTTACGAAATGTGTGTTACGTGTCTAATGTTGCACTAAGTCCTTTAATCATAACAAAATAGAAAGAATCTTCTTTTTTCATTGATAAATTGTAAATATCTTGTTATACGTTTGTTTCCTCAGGAATGGGCAAATAGCGATGCCGTGGCCATCCTGACATATTTTATGTTACTGATATCTTTAACGTTCAACATTCTAATATTTTGTTATATCGGCGAACTCCTCGTAGAAGAGGTATTTTTTACAATATATTGTTAATAATAAAAATTTTTTCCGAGATATAATTATTGAAAATTCGTAATATATCAATCCCATTTTGATGAATAAATAGTAACAAATAATATAATTTTGATATTCAATTACTTCTATTTTTATTAGTTTGGCAAAATTGGTTCAGCCGCGTATGAAATTAATTGGTATGATTTACCCGGCCATAAGGCTGTGGATCTTGTAATGATCATTACAATGTCTTATTACCCACCCAAGCTTACAGCTGGCAAATTCTGTGATTTATCTCTCAATACTTTCAGCACCGTGAGTGTCATAAATAACTATTCTTACTGATTAAGTAACTCTATACTGGTAATTCTTCACTTGTAAACTGATGGCTTCCATCTTGTTCAATTTTATTCATTTGTTTATAATTGTTATTGTTACATTATTAAATAATATTTCTAAAGTTGACATTGTTTTTAGGTACTTAAAACATCCGTAGTATATTTAAATTTGCTTCGGACAGTTACGCAATAAAACGTGTACAATTCTCCAAAAATATACAAAACTTCTATGTATAATCCTCATTATTGTTCCTTCAGCAAGTTTGTTATAGATACATCTATTCTCAAAAAATAATAAATTAACGTATGTCACATTCATTATTTGTCATTATATGTCATTCAATCAATTTAAAAAAATAGATTATAATTATTGATAAATGAAAAATAGATTATAAATATTGATAAGTGAAATCAACTTACGATTTGATTGATCATAAGACAAAAAATGTACTGCGTTTGAAAATTAAAATTTACTATATCAAAAAAATAAAAGTAAAATTAGAAAACTGTAATTGTAAAATAACACATAATGTATAGAAAATATTTACAAAATCATCAACGGTGGATTTTGCTTGAAAGATATCGCATTGCGTGTGGAACACATTATAAACTTCCAATCCCTTTGTGCTTGCACATCACAGAATGAGCCCACGGACAAGCAATGACCGAGGGGAGAGTCAATCGTTCGCGTACGCATGACTGAGCACTTGGTCATACATGACAACTATGAAACGCACTATTGAAGCTATACACGCAATATTGAAGTCATTACTTCCCCGCGCTTGCGTCATGAGAAACGGAACGTCGCATAACGTCCGCATGTTTCAGTCATCGTTACACTTCGCAGACAGCATGAGCTATCGATCTTCACTTCCAGACAGGATACGCAATGTACGTTACGAGCACGACATATATTACGCTATGCAGTTATGCCGCTGGATCCTGCAGTCGATCGGTATTTGGCACATAATTTACGGTCGCTCGTCGCAAAGCGAGAAGCTACTTTCGTTAATGCTGATTTTCATGAGTTTCTTTGGTCTGTGTTTTGTGCTTGTACCTGCTAGTTCGTACTTTCTATTCTACGACGAGGACATCGAAATTAAAATCAAGTTTTTTGGACCAGTTACCTTCTGTCTAACTTCCGTGATCAAATATTGCTTCCTCGGAACGCGTATCTCGACGATCGGAAAATGTATCGAACACGTCGAGAGCGATTGGCGGATAGTGCAATATCAGAATCATCGCAGTATGATGCTAAAGAACGTGCTGGTAGGCCGCAGAATAACGATGCTATGCGTGATTTTTCTTTATGGTGGTGGCTTGTTTTATCACACGATCTTGCCATTGTCTTCCAGAACGACAAATGGTAACGTCACAAGTAAACCGCTGATTTATCCAGGATATGATTATTTCGATCTTCAAACAAGTCCCGCTTACGAGATCATCTTTGGCATGCACTGCCTGTCCGCTATGATACAATATAGCGCTACGACAGCAGTGTGCAGTCTGGCCGCGAATTTTGCGACACACGCACGCGGACAGGTGCAGATATTGGTGACGCTTTTGGATGATCTAGTCAATGGGAAGGGAACTGAAGGTACTAATGTGGAGAAACGTCTGAGCTTCATAACGAAGCATCACGTGCGTGTGCTGAGGTGAGATGGAGAAAGCGCTGAGATAGCTTACATGACGCGTTTCTAGACTTATTTGGAGTAGATACATGGCGCGTTTCTAGATTTACGACTGACGTGGAGAAAATATTACGTGAAGTATGCTTAGTGGAACTGGTGACCGCAACTTTGATGATATGCATGCTCGAGTATCTTTTCTTAATGGTAAGAAAATTACGGCGGTAGACACGCATCACAATAATGTAATTATAACTTTCCGCGTATTACAAATTTTATCGTACTTTTAATATAGTTTTTGATTTAATATTACAATAATTAAAGGGCTTGCTACAATAATATATGATATTGATAAAAATGGATGAATCCTGTATTTGTCCCAAAGGTCAGGCTAATTAATATTATATGTGTTATGTTTATGTTGTAATTCATATTTTGTTCTACTTTTCAGCAATGTAAGTATTTGATGCAGAAAAATTTTACTCGTCTGATAATATTCCTTATTCACAATCTGCAATCCGTAATACTTTTCGGACATGTCAAAACATGAAAGTTTTTGTAGCATATGCAAATAGATGTATTTTTAACGTCCGTTTACGGTCCATTCAGATTATTATTGAATTGAAACTCAAGACGAATCTCGAGCCGCGAGTATTTCGGTAAACATTTGTTACGCCACTCGGCAAAAAGCAATGAAAGTTAGCCAAAATGTTCGCAGCTCTATATTCGGCTCGAGTTTCGGCTCGATAATCTGGACGCACCCTTAGAGTTTACTGTCTATGTTTTTACAAAATGTGAGTTAGTATAATGTTGTAGCAAGTACTTTAACCGTAACGAAACGAAAATAGTCTCCTTTTTGCACTAATAAATTATTAAGATCTACTTGCAATTAGTTGTATGTTTATCTTCTCAGGAATGGGAGAATAGTGACGCCGTGGGCGTCATGTCGTATATTTTGTTATTTATAGCTTTAACGTTCAACGTTCTAATATTTTGTTATATCGGCGAGCTTCTCGTAGAAGAGGTATTTTTTACGGTATATTGCTGATAATAAAAATTTTTTTTCAGGGTATCTTCAATCATCAAAAATTCATAGTATGTAAATCCTGTTTTAAATAAGTAATAATAATTGTAATATTCAATTATTTCTATTTTCAATAGTTTGGTAAAATCGGCTCAGCCGCGTATGAAGTTAATTGGTATGATTTACCCGGCCATAAAGCTGTGGATCTTATTATGATTATGATGAAGTCTTATTATCCACCCAAGCTTACAGCTGGCAAATTCTGTGATTTATCTCTCAATACTTTCAGCACCGTGAGTGTCATAAATAACTATTGTTATTGTTTAAGTAATTCTATACTCGTAATTCTACACTTGTAAACTGATAGCTTCCATCTTAAACAATTCTATTCATTCTTTTATAATTGTTATTAGTACATTATTAATTCATGTTTTTAAAATTTACATTGTTTCTATAGGTACTTAAAACATCCGTAGTATATTTAAATTTACTTCGAACAGTTACGCAATAAAGCTTAAACAATCCTTATTATTATTGTTAGTGGCAGCAAATTTGTTATAGATATATTTTTTCTCAAAAAATATTGTATAGAAGTCAATAATAAATTGATATATGTCTCGTTCATTAGTTGTCATTCAATTAATCTTAAAATAGATAAATTATTAATTTAACTTACTATTAAATTAACTTACTCTATTATGATTTGATTGACCTTGAGACAAGAAATCGATTATACTATTTAAAAATTAAAATTTACCATATGAGAAAAAAAGAAAACTGCAATTATATTGTAAAATAATATATAAAATATATCATACATATATATATCATACATATACATATTTATATTATATGTAGTGTATAAATAATATTTAAAAAGTCGCCAACGATGAATCTCGCTTGGAAGATATCTAAGCTACGCATTGTGTGTGGACTCGTTATGAACTTCCGATCCCTTCGCGCTTGCACATCACTGGACGAGCCATGACTGGGGGGGAGAGTCAATCGTTCGCATACGCATGGCTAAGCACCTGGTCATATACATATGACAGACATAAAACGCATATGCACGCGATACTGAAGTCATTACTTCCTCGCGCTTGCGTCGCGAGAAACGGAACGTTGCGTAACGTCCGCGTTTCAGTCATCGTTGCGCTTCGCGGGCGACAGCATGCGCGATCGATTCCAACTTACAGGAAGAACGCTCAAGATGTATAATGTACACCATAAGCACGACATACGCTACACAATGCAGCTGTGCCGCTGGGTGCTAAAACCGATCGGCATGTGGCATCCGATCTATGGCCATTCGTCGCAGAATGAGAAGTTCATCTCGATAATATTGATCATCATATGCTTCTCCGCTCTATGTTTCGTCCTGATACCTGCCGGATTTTATACTTTATTTCGTGAGAAAGATATCAACATTAAAGTCAAGCTTTTCGGTCCGGTCGGCTTCTGCCTGACTAACACGATCAAATATTGTTACTTTGGTGCGCGCGCTGCCGCGTTCGGAAGATGTATTCGACATGTCGAGGACGATTGGCGGATCGTGCAGCATCAAACTCGCGAGATAATGCTGAAGAAAGTGCTGATAGGACGCAGACTCACCACGCTGTGTGCAATTTTCCTTTACACCGGTGGATTGTCCTACCATATAATAATGCCGTTATCTTCCAAACAGGAAATTAACGAGAACCTCACGATTAGAATACACACTTATCCCGGTTACGATATATTTTTCGATCCCGGAGCCAGCCCTGCTTATGAGATCGTGTTCTGCATTCATTGCCTATTCGCGATGATCACGTATCACATCACGACGGCATCCTGTAGCTTGGCAGCGATTTTTGTGACGCACGCGTGCGGGCAAATAGATATACTAATGTTGTTGTTGGACGATTTGGTTGAAGGAAAATGGAGCAAGGATACCACTGTGAAGAAACGTTTAAGCGCGATAGCGAAACATCATGTACGAATACTGAGGTAAGTGGAAAATGCGAGGAAAGTGTGCAAGTAGATACATATTGCGCGTGATTTTCTAGATTTTCGGATAGATACGTGACACACTTCTAGATTTTCGGCCAACGTGGAGGAAGTGCTACGCGAAATATGTTTACTGGAACTGCTGACTTCCACCTTGACTATATGTTTGCTCGAATATTATTGCCTAACGGTAAAGAAAAGAATATCGACGTAATATAATATATTGATATTACGATAACATAATCTTTCTTAAAATTATGTGCAAAATTCAGTTTGTATAGACAGTTTTGTTGAACTTTGTGATAGTACATTTTACCTTCTCAGGAGTGGGAAAACAGCGATGCCATAGCCATCTTGACATATTTCATCTTGTTGATATCTTTCACATTTAATGTTCTGATATTTTGTTACATCGGTGAGCTCCTCGTGGAACAGGTATTTTCATAATATTTGTTGAAGAAAATTTTTCATTTATCTTTTACTGCATTACTAATGAGTTGATTTAATTCTGCAATACAAAAAATTGCAATAGAAAGAAGAGCAAGAATATAAATTTCATTATTATCTATTTTTCAAAAAATATTTAAAATGTGCTTTATTTAATTATTATGATTTTGTAAAAAAAATTCTCAAATGTACTAAAAAAAAAGTACTAAATTTGATAATTATTTACATTAGAAGATTTCTCCAATGATCTTGATTTTGATATATGTTGTCAAGGTTGTGAGTAATCTTCAACAAGTTTTAGCCGTCGCTCGTTATTCGTTAAAAATTATTATCAAAGTTGGTAATTATTTCCCTGCTTTATATGAAAAGTCAAATAACTCTAGGCAGAGAGAGAGAGAGAGAGAGAGAGAGAGAGAGAGAGAGAGATACGAGATGGACCGATTAAGGCAATACGACTTTCGCGCAGCAAAATCTATTCCATCTCCCCCTTGCCTAGAGACGCATAACTTTCCACGTGGAGGTTCACCCTAGTATTAGGTGGCCCTCGCTTTGTATAGAAACTCATGCGCCCTTGCAGGGGGGAGGAGATGGGGTGGCTTTCTTTACGTGGGAAGTCGGACGCCCATTGACAGGAGGAAGAAAGTGGAACTCGCTTCCCGTAGAAAATCGTATTTCCTTAATCGGTCCACCTCAAACCTGTCTAGATTATCTGACTTTTCATGTAAAGCAGGAAAATAATTATTAACTTCGACTGCAAATAACTTTTTAACGAATAAAGCGACGGTTAAAACTTGTTGAAGGTCACTGAAGGTCATGACCTTGACAACATATATCAAGGTCGTTGGAGAGATCTAATGTAAATAATTATTCTGTAATGTAAAAATAATTATCCTAAATTTTAATAAATATTTATTTAAACAGTACTAACTAAATATTTAGTAGTACTAACTAAATATTGAAATATAAACATATATTTATTTGATTTATACATGAACTATTAATTTGATTAAATTTTTTTATTGAATAAAGATTTATTTGCTGTAAATGAATGTTTAGTTAGTACTACTTAAACAAATATTTATTAAAATTAAAACATTTGCAAATGTTTTTTCAGTATGCATATAGTAGATTATAATATAAATAGTGTATTTTATATAATCTTGCACACACATTACAGAAAATACAAGTGCACTTATGTATTAATGTTTCATATTTTCAGTATAGCAAAATTGGTGCCGCTGCCTATGAAATCGACTGGTACAATTTATCTGGGAATAAAGCTCTCGAACTCGTGCTAATCATCGCAATGTCTCATTATCCGCCTAAACTTACAGCTGGCAAATTTATCGAATTATCTATGAACACATTTGGTGCTGTAAGTTTCTCACATAATTATTATTATTATTGCTTAATCGCCAAATTTGATTGTTAATTTACCTATGTATGAGACTGTCAAAAAAAATTTTTTTTTATCCACTTAGCTCAAAAGTTTCTATTTCATGCCAAAAGAACACCTCTAAATTTTTATTTAAAAATATTAAGGTTTAAAAAGATCGCTGAAAGTAAACGATTTTTAAATCAAAGTTTCGATTTTCTTTAATACATGTTTGATTTTATGTAAAAATGGCTTAATCCAGATTTTTAATGTGTTACTGTATGTTTTTTTTGATCGCTGAACAATAGTTCATTTAGCTACGATATACACCTTAAGAAATGCAGTTCTATTAATGTGAAAAAATGATGAAGTTTTGAGTTCAAGGTCGATTTTAACAAGATTCCAACCGTTCAAATGTGTCGTTACTCCAATTGTAGGTTCTCTTCACTCAGAACAAGATACAGTTAGAATTTTCCCGGGATCTCCTAAAGATCTTATTACATTGTGTTCAGCGATCAAAAAAACCTACAATATCACGTTTAAAATCCAGATTAAACCATTTTTGCATCAAATCAAACATGTATTAAGGAAAATCGAAACTTTGATTTAAAAATCATTCACTAGTGACTTCTAAATCTTAATATTTTTTGACAAAAATTTAGGGGCGTCCTTTTGGCATGAAATGGAAGCTTTCGAGCAAAGTGGCTGATTAAAAAAAAGTTTTGTTTTCTTGATAGTCTACTGTGTGCGCGTGTGTGTATGTACCCTCTCTTATTTATGTAATTCTTAGTCTTGTCACTTTCATATCACTTTCAGGTACTCAAATCATCAGTAGTATATTTAAATTTACTTCGTACAACAGTTACAGAATAAAATTTATATTCCATATACTATAGCTCTTACTATTTAAAATTTACGAGACAGATCTATTTTTATTATAGATATTATACCCACAGAGGAAGTATTAATAATAAAATAATATATATACCATCGATTAAAATGTGATTAATTCAAATATTACTAGTTATTTATTTCGTTTGATATTAAATCAAGTATTATATCAATTTTGATATTATACTTTAAGTAAAAGTATACTTACAAGGGAATCTCGCAAAATACCAAATTCTGATTTGATAAAATCTGGTATAATTTTAATGAAACATATATAAGTTACGTTAATCTATAAATGAAGTTAGAAAATATTAATTGCGCGGAAAGACAATTTTATTTAAATTTTAAGGGATGAAATCATTTTTTACAAGTAAAATCGTTTTCTGTTCCCCTCCCCTCCCTGTCATATTTAAAAAACTATTCAATATATCAAAAAATATATTTTGTACAATAAATAATTTTTATAATAAATAAGTTTTATAATAAAATTACCTGTATTTATCCACGTCAATAGTATATTTAAAAAATAATTATTTTTAAATAAAATTTTTGAATCCCCTTTATTTGATTATTAATGCGTTTATGGTGACACTTATAAACTGGCTTCTATAATGATTCAAATGAAATAGGCCTCAAATACGCGACCATAATAAAAAAAAACGATCACCAAAACAAAGGAGGAAAAACAACAATTTACGTTCAACACAATCTCAATGATAACCCTATAGTGCTAGTTATCTTTGCAGGTGACAACGTACAACTGAAGCTATACATCTCTACTACAAAATCGATTTTTCAAGCCCGTGCTTCTCCTCCCTTTCTACCTTTCTCCTTCTTTTATTCTCCCTAATATGTCACTGAAAGTACTTATTATGGTCATGCGCAAATTTTCTACCATTCTACAATCGATGTGGTACCAGCCAGTCGCTCGCGCACCTTCGACACAGCAATATGGATAAAATCCGGACATGGCCCAATGAAAATCATGAGAAGGATGTAATCGACATTCTGATATGGAACCGATGGTTATTGCGGGTTCTTGGGATCTGGCCACTGATATACCCAAACACCACAATAATCGAAAAGATCCTGGCAACGTTCTCGTTTGCATCATGTTGGATTGTACTCGGTTTATTCCTGGTACTTACGAGCATGTACACCTTTACGGACCGAAGTATCATGGGTGAGAAAATGAAGATGCTGGGTCCACTGGGTTACGTGTTCTTTTCCATGCTGAAGTATCTTTTCCTAGTGATACGTCATAAGAGTATTCGACGATGCGTTCAGATTCTCAGTACAGATTGGCGTATGGTTCAAGAAAAAAATCACCGCGAAATCATGATGAGAGACGCGGAGAAGGGCCACTTGCTGTCCAAATTTTGTATAGTATTCATGTATTGCGGCGGCTTGTCTTACAATACAGTAATGCCATTCCTATCACAAACATCGTACGCAAACAAACAAAATGTCACCATCCGACCAATGGCTTATCTTGGCTTCGATATTGTTTTCGATTTGCAACTAATGCCAGTTTATGTATTTGCCTTTTCTCTTCAATGTTTTATCGGTATTGTTATGTTCAACATCACCACGTCAGTGTGCTGTTTAGCAGCTATGTTCGTCGCTCACGCGTGTGGCCAGATCGACATTGTGATTGCAAGTGTGGAGAATCTTTTCAAGGGAGAACGAGATCATATCAAGTTTGAGAAATACATGGCAATTATCGTGCAGCATCACGTGAAAACATTAAGGTAAGTATCTTGCTCTATCTGTATCTTATTATCTGTAAAATTATCCACACGTCTCAATAATGTCTC